GGGCAGCGCGGGGCTCTCCGGGGCCGGCGATGGGCTGGGGGGGACCCCGCGGGGTCACACTCCATGTATGAAGCTGGGGAAGAAGAAGGAAAAGGGGGGGACAGAGGGGGTGGTGACATTGATGCTCCCCAGTCACCGCGACCCTGGGGGTGCCGAGCCCCCGCCTGCCCTCGGGGAGCGGGGAATTAATTCCTCGCTTCGCTTTGCCCCTGCGCAGCTTTCCCTTTTTTTATTAAATTGTCCTTATCTCAACCCACGGGGTTTGTTCTCACTTTTACTCCTCGGCTTCCCTCCCCTGTCCCTCCTGAGGGGGTGGGCGAGAGGCCAGGGCTGTGTCCTGTGTCTCACTGTGCTGTGGGGAGGGGGTTTGGAAATGAAAACACAGCCCAGTTGGACGAGTTTCACCCCTTTTCTATGCTTGTGTGAGTCCCCCTGCCCGCCCTCGGGAGGCTGCGCTGTGTGCTAGTCCAGAGCCACCCCTGTGCTCATGAGGAGAAGGCATGGCCAGGGAATTGTTGAGGCTGTGAGTGCCACCCGGCCTTTACTAGAAGATTAACTTGTTTTAAAGTGGAGATTGTGGTCAAACCGTGAGGTCAGAACTGATGGTGAATTACTCTGAGCTGCCTAAATGTTGTTTTTCAGCTCTAAAGGATGGTGCCGTGCTGTTTGAGTTGGGGTCTTTAAGATGTTGTCTTTCTTTTCTAATCTGAACAGATTTTTGAAATTTTGTCATCAGTTTTAATTAATCTGATTTGGTTATTGTTGATGTACTGCTGGTGTTTTTGCTCGTGAAGCCAAACCACGTGTTGGCTTCAGCAGATTGAGAGAGGGACACGGGGCTGACGGGCAGAAGCTGGTCCTTCAGCCCTGCACTTCAAATGTGAAATCTTATGCCCTGATAAAATCATGGTGTTATTGTTGTTGCTGTTATGATTATGATTGTTATTATTATTTATTTTTTCCTCCATATCCTGCCCTTTGAGCTTGGCTGTGGGGCAGTAACTGCTCCAGACAGAGGTCCCCACTCAGTGCTGTACAAAGGCCCTTCAAAAAACCAGTGAATTCTTGCTCCATTTCTCCAGCGTGAGGGGTTTTTTTTGCCGTAACCACGCTGCTGTGAAGAGTAAACGTGGGTGTGTTGGTAACTGCTGCTGTGTGGAAAATAAGTGAAATAATACTGTTAGGTTAAGGGTTTAGTTTTCTTACCTGTTACGGAACGTATTTGAAGTGCGTGAGGGTGGGTGGGTGATCTTGATGATGTTCTTTTTCCTTTGTTGTGTGGTTTTTTTTGTTGTTCTCAGAGACAGGAGCCGCCCTGTGCTGCGAGGGACTGGTGTGAGGAGGCAGATGACTGGGGAGTGTGTGATGGAGCAGAGTCTCCTGCCTGTGCCCCCCTTCAGCTGCTCGGCCTCGGCGAAGCCTCGGTGAGTGGCTCCTTCTCCGACTGTGCCTCCCAGCTCCAGCAGCTTCGCTTGGCCGAGGCCACGGAGGGGACAGGATCCCTGGATACGTGTCCCCCGGACGGTGAGGGAGTGGGAATAGCCACGTCTGGCTCAGATCCCGTGTTCCAGCCCTTCTACATCAGCGTTGTGGATGAGGCAGACTACGCTGGTTCCCTGGACACCGAGCACGTGGATGAGCTACTGAGGGAGTATCAGCAGAGAGAGGGGGTTGATCTGGAGCAGTTGATGTCAGAGAGGTGAGAACGGGTCTGGATTTTGGGCTGGAACTGAAGGGATCAGGTGGTTTCCTGAACGCTGACTGGTATCCTAAATCTGACTCACTAAATCGGAGTGATTTTTGGTTCCTAACTGGGTCCTTCAGGAATTGTTGGTCTGTAGCTACTTTGCTGGGAGAACGCAACGACGCGCTCAGTTCTGTCAAATTTGGAGTTACTCAGAGAGGCATCTCCTTCTGAGTGACTGAGCAGCTGGAAAGTCCTTGGGCTCCACAGAGAGCGGTGGAACATCAGGCTCTGAAACCAAACCAGTGTGGTTTAAACACCACCTTGTGCTAAAAGGCATGAATTTTTATTGTAGCACTTGCCTTCTGTTGTTTGGTATTTTTCTTTACAAGGCTAGAGCTTTCCTTATATTCCAGTTGCATTTTTAAGAGTTTAATTACTTAGTGATTTTGACTAGAGCCTGGGATGATGGTAAGGCTCCCAAAGATTTTGTAAAGGTTGTCTGAAAAACAGTTTTTGAATGTAGTTACTGGAAATATACTGAATATTCATATAATACTGAAAAGTATTAACCTTAGGTGATCAGAGTGGGCACTTAGACCATTTATTTTTTGATTATATTAATATGTACAGTCACTTCTGAATGGTGGACAGCATTGAATTTTTTGATAGCTAAAGCTACTCTCAATTGCAGAATCTACATGGAACGCTTTAATTTAAAAACTAGATAAACTCCTGAGAAGTTCCTAAAGGAATTATTGATTGATTTATTTATTTATTAGGGTAAGCAGGTATCTGGTGGATTTGAATCTCATGCAGTAGTTTAAAACACTGTTAGTAATTTTAAGCCACCAGAAACTGAAGAACTAGAAGCAAAATGTTCACTTGCAACCTCAAAGAGGAATTGCCTCTTAATTTAACATGTATAGTGGTTTTTTTCACTGTACTTAGTATAATCTAATGTGAATGTATAGTAACTTATTTAAAGCATGTATATCACATTGAAAACCTGAGTGGAAATTTTGTTTCTTTTCTTGTTTTCTTACAGTTTTGCAGGTGAATGCGGTCATGAAAAATATGAGAAGAGCGAAGTCAAAAGCAGGGACCACACGTTCCATAAATTTATGAAACGAATATCTGTGTGTCCTGAGCAGATTCTGAGGTGTGTTGGTCATCTGGTTGGAACAGAGTGCCTTTACCTGCCACTGCCTGGGGTTCTGTTTTTCAGGAACCTGTAGTTTGCTTAATGAAGGGAGTCAGGTGCAGCATATTTTGGAGGCGTCAGCTCAAAGCATTTGTTTCCTTTAAACCCAGCTCTTTCCTTAAGACTTTCCAAGTGTTGACCTTCCAAGTATTGTCCCATCTTTATTCTTTAAGGACTCCTCTGAAGCTTAGGCAATGATTTTTGGCTCATTGCTTCAAGCAGGCTCAGGGGTTTCAGAGAACCCTGAACACTGTTGCCAATGTGTAATTTTTCCTATGAAGTTTAGATTAAAAAAAAATTAATAACAATTACTTTTTTCCTTTCTTCTCTTAGATACTCGTGGGGTGGCCAGCCTTTATTCATCACCTCTCCTCCAGCTGACCTGGACAAAAGCGTTCCAGCCTGTGCTCACTGTGGAAGCAGCAGAATATTTGAGTTTCAGCTGATGCCGGCGCTGGTCAGCCTGCTCCAGAGTGACTCAGGTCAGGGACTCTGGCCTTTAGCTGCCTGAAAACCAGAAACAGTCCCCTTCCTGGTAAAGTTCAGTGAGTTTGGATTGTTCCTTGCCCACCACAGGCTCTGATGTGGTTCAACTACAGTGAGTGGTTTCTGTAGCATCCTCTTGTTTCCGTTGTAGATTTCACTGAGCAAAAGATGTAACTTTGCTTTGTGGAGACTCTACGATCACAACTTCATTTGCTCACTGGCCAGCTTGGGAGTAATATGTCTTTATTGCCTCTTAAATGAGGCCTTGGAAAAGAATAAATGTTGTCAGATGAGATTGCAGAGGCTTGAGAAGCTCTTTGGAAATTCTGAGCCAGCTTGCTTTAAAATCTTTAAAATTAGAAAATGCTGCACAGGATTTTAGAAAACGCTACAAGTACAGAGGAGACCAAATATGAAAAACATTTTCTGAATGGGCCAAGATTGAAATATAGCAATAAGCAGTAGCCCCTGATTATCTCATTTTTCATCCTTTCATGTGACACACCTCTACTGTTTTGTCTCCAGACCTGGCGGTGGAATTTGGGACTGCTGTGGTTTACACCTGTGAGAGGAGCTGCTGGCCAGCAAATCACCAAACCCCACTTGAAGAATTTGTTTTTGTACAAGAAGACCCAGATCAGGGATTATTTAAATAAATTGTATTTCTCTGCATAGATGGAAAGTCTGTTGTGTTTGGTTTTTTCTTTTACTACAGGTGAAAGTGTGTAATTATGAGACAGAATTTGCCTCGGATGTGGTGAAAAATGAAATTCCTGTGATGACGTGGTGCTTCTTTCCAAGAATAACTGCTTGAAGTATATGTTAGTGACAGAAAACTTGCAGAATTCAGTTACACATGGAAAATTAATTGTAGAGAGAGATTCTCTCGGGATTCTCAAGAATCTTCTAAAGGAGAAGGGGGGAGGTTTTTGTGGGTGCTTTTGTTCCCGGGTGATGGGGCAGGTGCCGCAGCTGCTGCTCCCAGGCTCCTAAATCCGGCTGCTTTACTTAAAACAGTCTGAATCCTTCTGGGGCCGTCCCTGATGGTTTGAGCTAAATTTGCGGTCTTTTAATTGACTTAATGGAGGAGTAATTTAAGCAAGTGTCCTTAAAGCTTTTTGGAGAGGTTTAATGCTGCAGCACAAATTACCGCATTAAAAGTTTGCGTTTAAAAAAAAAGGCGGGGGGGGGGCTAAAATGATGGAATGTGTTTGTAAAACGACTTTTTTAAGGAAGAATTGTAGCTCGTGGAGGGGGGGGTCAGTTCCTTTAGGCCACCAGACACAAAAATCACACTATGGGTGTGAAATGCTGCTGGAGCTCCCCGTGGGCGCTGGGCCCGCGCGGTTCCCCACCCGTGACGAGTGGCCACCGGTCTGTGGGCCGAGCCCTGGGGGCACCCACGGCCGCGGAGGAGGGGCGAGGGGGGCCCCCAGGCGGGCAGAGCCCGTGGCGGCGGGAGCGGGGCTCGAACCCGCGGCCCCGCG